AGGTACCACATCCTTACCATTGTATATACCATTGCATCTTCTTAAGTTTTTGTAATATATTCTGTTGCTTCTCTCTCTCACTCCTTTTATTACACAAGAGACTGTGTAATTTAAGTGTGGGGGAGGGATTTGGGGTTTTACTTTGTTTGTTCTTTTCTTAGTTTTTCATTTTTTTCATCTTTGAGTCACATGCATTTCATGCATTCATCTAAGGCATAGAAAAACACAAAAAAAAAAAAAATCAAAACAAAATTGAAAAGTTTTTCATGTTTTTTCAAACCAAAAAGAGAGCATATAGTTTCATTTCCTTTGCTTAATATTGAGTCTAGTGTTTGCATATAGGCTGCATTGCATTTGCATAGGGCTTGATGATGAATATTCCTGGTAAAATGTTAAGTGTTTAGGTTTGATTTAAATGTCTAAGTGGTAAATTGTTTGATGCATCATGAAAATGTTAGAAGTTAAGGCTGAACCATGCTTAGATTGCTAAATTTGATTCTCTTGTCCATACTGAAACCACTTGCTCATTGAAAATCAACTCTCTCTATTTGAACTTTAATTTGAATTTTTAAGTATCATGTTTGTGCATTGAAAAGTGATTTCATGGCTACTATACACATATTTGGATCATCTTCTTCCTTTTTACCACTCTTGTTGATCCAAATAGCTGATCTTCATATTTATGGTACAGTTCATCCATACCCTTAACCAAACCTCTTTTTGAGCTTAAACATTATGATGAGAGTTAAGTGGTTTGAGTTTCATGTTTATATGCTTTAAAAGAAGAAGGAAAAGTATGGGATGGTAGTATGGGGAAACAAGTTAGAATTATGGTTAAGTACAAAGGGTATAAAAGCTCTAAGTGTTTATAGAAGGAAGGCACCAACAACAAAGCTTTGAAAGGTCAATCAAAAGAAGAAATCAGACCCAAGGCAATCCACCAAATGTGAAAAACGGCGCCTAATCAATAAGAAAGGAGCAAGTCCCAACAAAAAGAAGAACCACACAAGCAAAAAGAACAAGTTTCTGCAACCATGAAGTAGGAGAAGGATTAGAGTTTAGGAAAATAGTAGACTAAGGGATTCACTTAGGGGTTTAGAAGTTCTTAGGATTCATCTTTGGGTAAAAAGGTAGAAGAGAGCTTTGATTTGCATGCATAAGTGTGCATTTACCTTTAGCATTTTGCCTAAGATAGAATCATTTTCATTGAGTGATCCCTTATGTTTATGAACCTTTTGCTTGAATGAGATCATTTTAATTTCATAACCTTACCCTTAAAACCAAATGTCTTCACTTGATTTGCACAAACATGATTCATGGTTACAAGCTTAATGAATGTTAAAGAGTTGATTGATTTGGCATTTATCTAGGTTGAGATTTGAGATCATTTTGAAACATGATGAGCATGGCTAAGTTCTTTAAAGTATAACTGATCTTGTTTTTCATCCTACACTTAGGCACATAGACATTGACTTCATTTCTTTACCTTAGCATTTTTGGAATTGAATGCCCACCTTTAAACCTCATCCTCCAATTGTCTTAGTTTGTTTGCTTGAGGACAAGCAAAAGTCAAGTGTGGGGGTGTTGATATCTCATACATTTACATCATTTAGGCTTGCATTTAGTTTATGTTTTGGTATCCTTTTGTATGTTTTCTTTCTCTTTAGTCCCATTTTCCTTTCCTTTTAGACTTAGATTGCATTTAGGTTGTAGTTTGCATTCTCTATGTATTAAGGATGTTTTAAGGTAATTAAGAAGCTATTGGGAGCAAGGAGGAAGTGTGGGAATGGTTCAAGGAGTTAGCCAAGCTGAGAAGGAGCAAAATGAGCTAAGGAAGACGATTTCTGGTGTTCCATTAGTCATAGCACGAGCCCCATCGGTCTGTGATGATCGATATGATGCAGCAGAAGAGTTGAAGATCCTATCGGTCATCTGCATCAATCACTTGTGACCAATGGGAAAAGACAGGACATCTGTATCGGTCATCTGTATCGGTCAAGACTGACCGATGGGATCCAGCCAAGTGTTCGAAGAAGCGTATCGGCCATCCGTATCGGTCAAGGAGTGATCGATGGGAATCAAGCGAATGTCCATCGATCATCTGTATCGTTCACTGAGAACCAGTCCAAACTTCCTTTTATTTACAACTTTGCCATTATTCTCGGGCTTTTGTCATTTAGTATAAATAGGCTTGATCTAATGTTTTAGCATCAAGTCTTGTTCTTGCTTAGTTTTCTGATTGCTTTTGAGTTTTGTAAGAACAATTCTATCATTTTAATCAAAGTTTTGTATTTGCCTTTTAATTTCTTCTGTAATCTCCCTCTTAATCATGTTTAGCATCATTTACTCTTGTGATTTGTAGTTTTCTATGATGATGAGTGAGTAGTAACCTTTAGGGTTTTAGATGTGGCAGATTAGGGGAATTTAGAGGCTTGTTTTAGGTTTGTTAGTGTTTAATATGATTGATTTCTCTCTATTAATCTGTGTTTAGGCTTGATTTGTCTTGATCACATGAATCTAGATTTAAGTTTCATCTTATGCCCACCAAGTGTTTGATGAAATGCTGATCTTATTTAATATAGGAATTACTGGCCTTAGCTCAAGAGATTGACTGTCTGAGGAGTATTTTGACTTGAATAGAGTTGGTTTTGATTTCTTGTTGATTGTTCAAGCACTAATGAGAGTTAGTTCTTGTTAGGATGATTAGCAAAGGGTTATTTGTCAAGAGATTGAACTTAACTTGCTTGATTGTGAACTCTATGTATAGGAATCAGCATTACTTGCTTGTTTCCATTGTCAATGATGTTTGAAACAACCTTATCTAGCCTTTGAATTCTCCAAAGTCAATAACCACATCTAGGATCTTTCTTCTCTTATTTGAATTTCGAATTTTGCTTTAAGTGCTCTGTTTTATTGCTTTGTTTTGCTTCTGATCATTGCTAAGTTGTTCTCTTTTGAGTTTTGTTTGGTGCTTGATCACTTAGGTTGGTAGTTTTAGTTGTGTAAACAACAAACTTGCTTGATTCCACCTGACTTAAAGCTTTCTGCTCACAATTCTATTGGCATATATTCATAACTCCTTTGAATTGATAAAAAAATTATATGTTATACTACAACTGATTAGTACAAAAGGTGATTGAGAAAGAGACTCAGAAACTCTTGTATCAATAAAATATATGTAAGCCAAAGTAAGTGTGGTTTAGGGTTCAGAGACCTTAAAAGTTTTAATCTGGCTCTCTTAGCAAAACAACTTTGGAGATTGATACAGTATCCGTCATTCCTCTTGGCGAGAGTTTTACGAGCGAGATACTATCGATTTTTGAACCCCTTGGAGATTGGCAAGGCTAATAACCCATCTTATGGATGGCGAAGTATTATGGCGGCGAGAGAGCTCTTTTAAAAGGGTTTGAGAAAAGTGATGAATTGTGGAATAAGCACAAGAGTGTGGTATGACAACTGGATACCGGTCTGCGCACCAAAACTCACTTTGGACATAAGAGAAGGGAGAGATCCGAATATGTATGTTCATCATCTAATTAATCCAGCTACATCTGAATGGAGGATGGATCTCACAAACCATATGGTTGATCTAAAAGCTAATTCGCGTATAAAGAGCATTAGACCAAGTAGGTCATATAAACCATATAGGTTTGTTTGGACTTACTCCAAGTCTAGTATGTATTCTGTAAAAACTGGTTATGAGCTGCTAATACAAATGAGAGACGAAGAATGTATGCCACCGCTTACAGAACCAAGCTTACCCTCTTCAAAACTGGTTTGAACCAAGCTTAAAGTCTGGGCTCTAAAGATCCCTCGAAAGATAAAATACTTATTGTGGCAGGCTCTTTCGGGCAGTATGGCTACCAATAGCCAACTTATGTATCGTCATTGTGGGATAGATAGCCGATGTCAATGATGTGGGGTAGAAACACAGTCGATCAATCATGTACTCTTTGAATGCCCTCCAGCGCTACAAACGTGGGCTGTAATTGCAATCCCATCTCCTTCGGGTATTTCTCGAGTACAGCAATATTCCAAACTTCGCACATCTCTTCTTCCGAGTACCAGCACAAGGAGAAACTGCAAAGTTTTTAGAGGCTTTTCCTTGGATTCTATGGTATATTTGGAAGGTTAGGAATAAGAAAGTTTTTAACAACAAAGATATTTTGTCAATAGATACTTTGAAAAATCGCTATGCAAGAAACGGAATCATAGAAAATTGCACAGAAGGTCTCTGAGATTTGGAAAATCCCAATCTACCAGTCATGTGCCAAGCTCTCAAGTAGCAAAGATTGTGACAAAGCCGATGGATAATAGACCGCTGTTTCCGCGTTGCCAAGTGGATGCATCTTGGGTTAAGGATGGGCACACAACATGCAGAGGTCTCACACTTGATTTGGCAGATGGCAGTCATTTATATGGGCTAACAGTGACAAAACAGTTTCTCCCACCGATACATACCAAATTTGAAGCATTCATGTGAGCTATAAGAGTTTTGATTCCTCAGCAGATTTTCGAGTTAGTGATTAAGACAAACTCTTTATAGTTGGTAAACTTGATTGAAGAGAATACATAATGGCCATCATTTGCCTCAAAATTTAAAGAACTGGAGTTTTTATACCTAAATATTTATAATCTTTAATAATTTTTATCCATATTTTTTTAATGTTTAAAAAGATCGTCTCACTAAAAACTCAAACCTATGATTTGATACTTTTTCATATAAATTTATTGTTTTCAGAATAGCTAGCTTTTGAACTCTGTATTTTTAAATTTTAAATTTAATATATTAAATTCTTATAATAAAAAAAAAAAAGAGTTTATACATTAAAAATAAAGAAGTTATTTGAAGGTTTTCGATATTAAATTTTTACTTTAGGGGTTTTATCCAAACATCTTTAGTTATGGGGTTTTACATTAAAAGTTAAAAACCCAAGAAAGAAAGCTTTACTTACTGTATATTTATTTCCAGTGTCAATTCTAACTTCATTTTCTCCACAATGAGCCGATCTTTCTCCTTCGCTATCATCGTCTACCTCTTTTTTTATCAGCATCTTCTCGCAGCTTCCCAATTTGAAGGATTTGATGCTGAAGACGACGATGTTTCCGAAGATTCCTCTGATCTTCACCACTCTCTCCCTCCACCTACTATCACCCAGTCTCACTCATCACTTCCCGATCCAGAAACATCTTACTCCGACTCTAACTCCGATCTCATCCCTGAATTAGACCCCGAGCCTCACTCAAAATCTAAAATTGCAACACCGTTCGATTTCTGGGATGAAGACGAGTTCGAAGGATTGCCGGTAGAGATAGCGACGGCACAGATGCTAGAGTCTCCGTTGATTGCCGAAAACGCCACAGAGACGGTAGATCCTGATATTGCTTCAATTGCTCAAGACACTACTGTTCCGAGGAGGAAGAAGAAGAAGTCGTACATTGTGGAGATCGGTTGCGTCTTTTTCTTAATCGCTCTCGGGATCAACTACTTCGTCGGCAAACATGAGAACGAGAGGGTCGCTTTAGCTTGGGCGGCGAAATTCGCTTCCAAGGACACTATATTCCAGGAGAATTTCAGTTTGCTGGGAGTTGGTGAAGGAGAGGACACGCCATTGTTGCTGAAAGAAGCGCTAAATGTGTTCAAATTCTACGCCACCGGACGAAGGTACTGCCATGGATTGCTGGCTACGATGGAGCTCAAGAGCAGACACGATCTGATCTCGAGGCTCTTTAACTTGTTGGTGCCTTGTGAAGATGAGATCACTTTTGAGGTTTACATGAACGAAGAGAGCATGGATCATGTCGTGCTTGCGATGGCGAGGAAGAAGGCGGCGAAAACGATGCAAAAGGAGGTTAAGGATCTGCAGAGATTCGCCGGGATTGTGTCTCCTCCCGCCGGGAGGAAGTGGGTATCGGAGGAGCTAGGTGTGATCTCTGAATCAAAGGAAGTTGCTGGGGATATGATCACAGACACTGTTCTTGATCAGGTAAGAATGTTATCTCTCTCTCAGATTCTACAGTAGTTTTGTATCTGTGTAATTTGCTGGTAATTTAGTGAGCAAGAATCAATTTTTAGGGCAGAGTAAAAACGAGCGAACCAGAGTAAGAACTAGTAGTCACGATTTGGTTCATTTTCTGAGTTCGGTCTGATTTGCAGTGAGTGTATGAATATGTTGAAATGCAGCTTTAGTATCATTAAGCATCATTACATTAATAATTTAGTAAAGGAGTTAAAGTATGGTAATTGTTCCTTCTATGTTCTGTCCATGGCTCTGTGTCTCAGTTTTTTTACTTTGTTTGATGATTGATGATACACATACAGTATAACTGTACCTGTGTATTCGCCTGTGATTTCGCGTGAGCAAGAAACAATTCTTACTAGAGTGAGAAATGGTAGTCAGAATTTGGTAGTTCCATATCATCTCATTTCTGAGGTCAATCTGACTGGAAGACATTTGGAGTATACTTGAATGGGAGGGACCTAATGCTTATCAGTGAGTGTATACATATGTTGAAAGGAAGCTTTAGTGTTATTAAGCATCATGACCTTAATGTTGCACCTTAATTTAACCAGAGTATTGTTTTGTTTAGTGTTGCACTTTATTGATCTCTATAACATATTGCCAAACTAACCAAATACGGGCATGCAATGGAACTCTGTAGGTTTTTGGTGATAAGGCAATGGAGAAGTATCGGAAGAATTTCATGTCAATGCATATATCTGACCAACACCCAGGCAAACACAAGAAGATGCTGCTTTTCAAGTTTTCCTTGCCCGATGCTAAACACATGGATGATATTGTCCGATTGGTGGCGCTAATTCCATATTACATCGACTTAGTAGGACGGTACAGACTCAGTTCTCAGGTAAGAGGCAAACTTAGTATTAATTATAGCCAAGGTCAGGAGTTAAATGCATTTCAAAGGCTGAGTTTAGTGACTTTCTATTGATATTTAATAAAGGCGCGGAACAAAACTGAGAGTGGTAGGCAAAAGGCAGCAGAGGAAGCGTACAAGGAACTTCAGAACGTGAGGCAAGAGGCGTTGCAGAAGAAGAAAGCAGAGAGGAAGAAAATGATGGAGGAAGCGGAAGCAAAGCTGAGCGCGGAAGTGATAAGGAAGAAAGAGACGAAAGAAAGAGCAAGGCAAGTGAAAAAGGCAATGCCAAAAGTTAAGATGAACCGTAGTCACTAGGTAAAAAAAGCTCTAATTTTTTGTTCCACTGAAACTACCCTCTCTACACTCGAAAGATAATAGCAAACATTGTCACGTGTTTTACTTTATAGATGCTTTTGCTTCATTCTCTTCTATCTTGAAATACAATTTTAATGATAATGGAGTTTTGATGTTGAGGTGGAAAGTTCTGTGAGAGCTTTATATCGTATTAATGGCAAATGGCTTAATGCAGCCTTATATCAAGTGGGTTACAATGAAACACAATAATACAAAGAGTGTCTATAGAGTATATGATTTCTATTTTCCGACCAGACTCCTGAATCTTTTCCTGATTGATAACAAAAGCGCAGGTCCTAGAAGTGGCCACGTCGTGACTATAGCAATGTATGCTAATAGCCAAATCGATTTTCGGCTGTTTCTTGAAAGCTGATCCACTCTCCTCTTCAAAGGCCCGAGTAAACTGTTATAACCTTGAGGACTACTCTCCTTATGTGTATGATAACTTGTCTTTTCAATTTGAGTACTGTTCTCTTGTTGTGCATCAGCTCTTGTTGTCTCAACTTCGCTTGCAGCAGCAATCATCCCATCTTCTCCAGTATCCACAACAAAAGGTCCCTGATCAATCGAAGATCCCAATGGTTCGGGGACGATCTGCGTCTGATAGAACAATATGATGAATCTCTTGAACGATGTTATGGTAGCGGACTAAAAGTCATTTATCTCGTACCTTCTGTGTTCGCTCTGCAAAGGGGCTTGCGAGTAGCACTTCAAAATATTCTTGCACAGCCCTAACCCACCTATAACATTACAGTCAGTTTTCACACATTTCATGTTCAGTCTTTGTGGATAGAGTGTGAGATGAGTATCTAAGAGCACAGAATGAGTACCACATGCTTGTTGCTGTAACCCCTTCATAGTAAGCAAGGTGACCACCATGTGTTGTGGTTGCCAGAACTATGTTTTTGTTTCCCCTGAAAAAGTTGAGACATTGGATCATCAGTTTCATGAACCATCACACTGCACTACAGAGAGATACAACCAAGAGACTCATCAGTTTTTGTTTACAATCCCTAAAGCCGTTTCATCTCCTAAACCCCAATTTAGCAACGGTCTAGAGCACACCCAAGTAACAGAACCACACAAGAAAGACTTCTAGAGCCAAAACCAATTCCCCAAATACTCTTATACCTTCACATCCAGTTAAGTCCCCTAGTTATACTTATAGTTTCTCTTAACACTATCTTCTGAAATTTAGTGACGTGACGTTGCATTACTTAACAGCTGAATGAAATTTTCATAGAGACTTATCAATGGCTTCACAACAAATGAGAGAGTACAATGGAGTTGACCAGAGTAGTATTGATGCAGATTAACCTATGGACTTGCATAGTGGAGGAAATCATGATGAAAGGGTAAAAGCAAAAGAGATTCTCACCTACATTCATCCCATGGTATAGCTTCCCTTGTACAAACTGGATCATCCAAAGCACTGATACAAAGGAGCGGAACAGCAACATTTCCCACAAATTGTGTACTGCTTGAACGTCTATAGTATGTATCAGTTGTCTGCAGCACTAAAGGTTAGATTTTTCATACTTGTTTAATGGAAAGAGAGGATAAAGAGAATAAGAAACAAACTGTACCTCGAATTTGCCAACAAGTCTGGTGGCGTAGTTGTCAAACTCTCGAACTGAACGTGACTAAATCAACAAGAAACGGAAGGAATGAAACTTTTAAGTCAATCTACTTGGATTGGCAAGTAGATATATACTAGAATTCACCTTCTTAATGCCTTCCCAATCGGCTATACGAGAAATGATGGAGTGGTGTCTGCAGGTTACAACCATGTGTAAGGGAACAAGAAATACACGACTAAACCTAAGCCAAAAGTAGTTTAAAAAAAATACAATGTTAAGAACAATACAAGACATACAATTGTGCATAACCTTGTAGACCAACAGTAAGCACTCTGTCATAGAGTTTTTGCACGAGTTTGCGGTTGATAAATCGATCACATATCTGCAAAGCATTAAACAGTAAGGCATGATTGTTTTCTTTACTAGCTTAAGAAAAATGTGTCAATAATTAAGATATATTAAAGGGAAAACAATATAGAATATGAGAATGAATGAAAAATGGAAAGTGAAATGAAGAGGACATAACTTACGATCAACAAAGGCAAGTAGCCTATTAAACCCAACCATGTTTTTCCAAAGTATTATACCATCGTAAAGATGATGATGATGCGAAACAGAAAGGATATCCGTGAAATGAAGAGAGACTTTGTTTTCAATATTTAGTTTAATGAGTTATCAATGTGATTCTCACATAAATGTCAGTGAGAGTGAACGTGACAGTAGACTGACCAAAAGATCCCAAGGAGAGCACACAGCAGTAGCTCCAACAAGAGGTGTATCAGGCCCTTCCTCCCCAAGATATTTTACCTGGAATCAGGTTGCAATATGAAAGATTGTGTTAACCGTTATGCCTTTAGAACTAACAATGATCACCATGACATTTCTATCTTTCGATACGATGCAAGACTGATGGGGTATTGAGGGTAAAAGAGAAGTGATATACTAGAACGTTGGCACCAATGCTTGTTCCAACAGCGAACAGAGGAGCCTCTGGGAACTGAGAATGGATGTGATCAATTACTTTCCGAAGATCTTCTGTCCACCCAGCATTGTAGAAGCAGTCAGACTGATTAATGATTTTAAGAGTCAGTCAGTCTATGAATCATAACAACAATACACAACTCAATGAATCAACCGCTAAAATGATAAGCTACTGAACAAGGAACAAAAATTTCAAAGCTAATTATTCCGTTTAATAATGTAAAGACGATGTGGTATGCCTCTTCCAGCAATGTTTAATGGTGAATTTGATTGCAAGATTGATGGTCACATGACGAAATACCAGATTAAGGTCATGAATATTGTTCTGCAACTCGTTAATCTATTTAATAAAATACAGTTGTGCACCTTTGACCCAAAATATCACCTAGATACAAAAAAAAAAAAAAGTGAAACGAAATCTAATACTTAAATAAAATGGAAGAAACTCACAGTTAAAGATATCCCTCCAAGTCCACGGTGATTGCTCACAACAACATTCCATCCTTCCTTTGCCAGCCTGAAGGCAAGATGTTTGATATACTGAGAAAAAAGAGTAAAATGAGGATTTCGAGTGAGCAAAAGCAAGAGATAAATGAGACTGTCTCAAAGGAAAGAGACTAAAGCAACCAAACAGAGGAAGAACGTAGAAAAGAGAGGTCAAAACGAAAGATTACAGCAGCACTAGAATCACTAGTGAGCCCTGGAACCACAATAGCAATTGGAGTCCTATCATTTCCTGGAGTTGAGCCGTTGACCACCTGAGATATGCCTTCCACGACTATGCGGAACACAAAAGCTTAAGGCAACAAAAAGAAAGACCCAATAATCAAAAATGTAAATGTTCTTAATACAGACCATCAGAATGCATTAACCAGTCCAAAGCAATTGTTCCACCATCTGTTGCTTGAAAGAGATTTCTGAAACGTGAAAACACATAAAGTGATGCATAATCATTCATACATCTCAAACGAGCAAGTAATAAAGAAAACTAAACTTAAAATTTCTTAATTGGTTGGCAAAACAAGAGTCAACTACTTTGATTGAGAGCAAGATGGAAGAGTTTTATATATCACATCAATTTCTCAAGAACCAAAGTAACTTAAGAGGAATACATAACTTGTGACTACAAGATGTGAACAAGCAAAATAACTGCGTTCTCCAAATTTACTCAAACATCTCAAAGATCATGTAAGGTACGTTCTACAATAACTAAACAAGTAAAATACCACTGGTTTCTGAACTCACTCACCGCTTATAGCAGAAACGAGGTGAGTTTCCGAAGAGGCTAAGAAACGCTGTTTGAAGATGAGGGCTGGAAAGCCAAATCGTTGGAAAGTACCTGAAAAATTGAAATTGCAAATTTGTACATAAGACGATGAGTTTAAGATTGGATCAAAACGAGGCAAAGAACATTACCGTCCGTGAAGGAGACGACACTTGGAGACGATAAACTGGCAAAAGTCTGAGTTAGGATTGAAGGTGAGAGAGATGGGATCTGCTCTGGGAAAATGAATCTCGAGGAAATAGTAGAGGAAGAGTACGATTGTGAGGAAGAAGAAGATGAGAGAGTGAGAGGTTGGGATGAACGAGAGGGATTTGAAGAGGAGGAGATAAGGAGAGAGTGATTCCTGCTCTGTGATTGCGCAATTCATTGGGAAATCAAAAGCAAATATCTTTTTTGCTGCTGCAGAAATGTGGAGATTTGATTATTACCCAATGAGTGGAGGGGAGGAGACGAACGAATTCTGTTTGAACAGAACTTTGACATTTGCTTCTCACTCCAGTCAAACGGGTGGGTTCTCCAATATTTCATTTTTGCCACTCACTTGATAAAGAAATTGCATTTCCCTTTGTTTTACACAGATTTTGAATTTAATCGATATAGCCATTTTTAATCAGCCTCTCCGTAATATTTAACCCAACTTAGCACCACGAAAATACATAATTCATGAAAGAGATTTACTCGTTACTGATATGATTCAGAGGCCTAAAGGTGATTCATTTAGAGGCTTGAACCACCACAAATCAACTTGAAATATTTCTGAAATCATGACAGAACAACTGTAAAACGAACGAAGCAAGAAAAGAACTTGTGCGAGAAACGAGTTCACATCTATTAATGAAAGAGGTATCAAAATACAAATGTCTCACATTTGTATAATACAAACTATCCAATGGATATTGATTTAGCTATCTCTCAACTGAAGGGGCTGTTATTTTCAAAAGTTATAGAGATTTAGGTTTTAAGAAAGCAAAAGCAGAAGCTAAAGTACTTGCAGAATCTATGGATATTGAGGCTGTATTTCCCAAAGAAGCAAAGCAAGTCATTGAAAAAAAAAACATTATGGTGAAAATTCAGAGAACGTTGAGGGAAGTGTGACATTATCACCCGAAGAAAGC